GCAACCTATTGAAAAGTTTCCAAATATTCACCATTTACACAATCGCAGTTTAGTAACAACGTGTTGATAATCGAATCATGTTGCACCTTCCGTACAATTCATTGATTCAATGCTTATTTTAAAGCTCTAGAACCCGTTCCCAACCCTTATGCTTTTGAGATGGATTCACAAAGAGAATCTTGCCCTATCATGGAACATGGAAAAGGGCTTCTATCGTTGATTGCCTGCGTACGGGACATGCTCATATTTGATTATAGTAGAGAGTGACAAAATCGCACCTTCAGGGCGTCTTTCAACATAGTTTTGTTCCAATCTAAATTAGAAGTTGTCAAGTACTCATATTCCTTTAGCCTGCCTCAAGCTCAAAAGTTGGCATCACGCAGACCTTGATAACGACAATCTGACATCGGCAGTGTTCTGTTCATGCAGGGCAGTAACGATATCTGCGAAGAGTCATTGATGGTCTACTAGGCGGAGAGACTCGCGATATTTCCTACTGTTTAAGGTACGGCGCTTCCTGGAGTCTCTCGGTAAAGTGGGTGTCGCCGCGTCGGTAATTTTGCACAAGTAACCTGCCAACTACACTCAAGTCTCTTCAGATGAGTGACAGGGATACAGAAGTTTCCCTAGGCAATTCCTACTTCCTACTCCCGATTACCTATCCTGTCGCCACCAATACTGAATGAACCCAGCCAACCCGCCCGGAGGCCCCACCCCCGCATTTCAGCAGGACATCCCGACACTCCTCGTGCCTCTTTCAATGAAACCTCATGGTGGTCCCGGGGCCTTTGTACAACGTTCTTCGGAAAATGAGCGACCAAATATTTCCCAAGCTCCGGTTGTCGTACTTTCCCTCTTTACATATAAGTCATCTGGGCGAAGTTAGCCGTGCCTCGGATGTTTCTTGAACCCCTTGTCTTTGCTCGTTGTCACATCACATCATTCATCTCCCTTCATTTCTTCTTGTAAACTCTGTGGTATCCTATGCGCCTGGAACAAAATGTCGATCTTGCCTGTTCAGGAGACTCAGCTGCAAGAAGGAGTTGACACTAAATTGAAAGAACAAACACTGGGAACGGTTCAACTCCGACACAATGAAACAAATGAAATCATTCTGGTACCCACGCCCTCAAATGACCCGAGCGATCCTTTAAACTGGTGAGTATTAACTCACTTCGAGTTCCTCAGAATCCGATTAGTCGGGGGAGATTTACGCTAAATCGCAACGTGTCAGGTCTTCAACCCGCAAATACTACATTTTTTCGCTCACATGCTTTGGAATTTTCTTCGCCCATGCCGTCATTGTTGGGCCTGCTGTTGCCCTAGAGTTGATCACACTCGAGTTCTTCGGTCCTGGACCTGAAACTGTGCCAAATAACATTGCTAAAGCATCGTACCTTCAAACCGGGTGTTCTCTCATGATTGGTGCGGGCAATCTTATTTGGGTGCCTCTAGCGATCAAATACGGCAGAAGGCCCGTTTACATCGCGTCCTACCTTTTACTTACGGCAAGTTGTATTTGGAGTGGTGCAGCGGCTTCTTTTGGCAGTGCACTTGTTGGCAGGCTCTTTCTCGGCTTTGCTTGTGCTGCTGCGGAAATCGTGGCACCCTTGACGATCACTGATCTGTTCTTCTTGCACCAACGCGGGCGTGCCATGGTGTCAGTCTACCCTTCTTTTCTTACATCCCAGCAGCGCCTCATTTAAGATGTACTGATACTGACAAGTTGATGATATTAGTATCTACACATGCTCCTTATCTGCGGGTGTTGGCGTGGGCGTGGTGTTTTCGGGTCTAATCACACAAACTTACAGCTGGAGGATGATATTCTGGGTATTTTCTGCCTTCGTCGGGACTTGTACGGTTTTAGTACTTTTCACTTTCCCCGAAACGCATTATCGAAGGCGATATGCAACGGAGCTAGAGGGAGTATCATCCAGACACGAATCCACCAAGCCGTCTTCTCAGTGTCTTGAGAACCCTCCTTCTTCACGCACGTCATCTCCATCGAAGTGGAAGACCTATTTGGCGACCATCAAAATCTTCTCGGGGACTTACACTAGCGAACCTCTCCTGGCTCTGATGTTCCGTCCTCTCGTCGCCATTACTTTGCCGGCTGTATTCTGGGCAACCTTGATCAACGCAATCACCACTGGCATGATCGTTGTAATATCCGCCAACTTCTCGAATGCTTTCTCGACGGTCTACGATTTCCAGACCTGGCAATCCGGTCTAACGTATCTATCTACGATATTTGGATCCTTCTTAGCCATCTTCTGCGGGGGACACTTCACAGACTGGGTGGCAGACAGACTGACGATTCGGAGTGGCGGAACCAGGATCCCTGAGATGCGGCTACCTGCAATGGTAATCAGCTTGATCACTGGTCCCCTGTCGTGCATCTTATATGGGGCAGGCTTCGAGAAGAAATTACATTGGATCTGTCCCACTATTGGTATTGGCCTTGGTACGTTCATTCGCCTTTCTTTCGGTCTCTTTAGGCACGTGAACGTCATGAAAAGGAGATTGGAGAGTCACAAGCTAACTTGAAGAATAGTGAACTTCACTACTGTTCAGTCAAACAACGTGGCTCTTGTGTATATTCTTGATTCTTATCGGCCTATAGCGGGTGAGGTTATAGTCACGCAGTCTTTTTTCAAAGGTGAGACAACTCCCGAGACATGGACTTAATTATCACATATTTATCACATATTCGTGGGAGAAATGATCCCTGGGGGGGTTTCAATGTGGATGGCTGACATTCTAGTAGCCGTTTTTGGATTTCTTCTCAGCTTTTACGTGAACGTCTGGGTCCAAAAGTCAGGCTATCTCTCCGTGTTTGGGACCTTGGCGGGTATATCTGCGGCCGTTTTTTTGTCAACCATACCCTTCTACTTTTTTGGGAATCGAATGCGACAGGCAACATGGAAGTGGAAGTTCTCCAGGCAGTTTCTTCATTGGCACCCAGATCGGGAGGTTGGGGAATAGGCCAATTCAGTAGGCGCTTCGTTCCACATTCGGTACCGAGGAACTTCGTCTTTTTTTTTCCTTCCTTTTTTTTTCCTTTTTGTTTTTCCTTTTTTAATTTTAACTGGTAGGTAGGTGGGTAGGCGATGTTTGTCAGACGTAGGCAACAGAGAACTAGATACTTATTCGCTTGGTTTCAATGTAAGCTTTAGGTCAACATGACAATTTTTGATTATTTTCCGACGATCCCTTGAGTTCAGTCCATGTAAAGCCCCCCATTGACAAACAAGTGTTCTCCATTGATCCATCGAGATCGTTCTTCGCAAAGAAACGCCACAGCGTCCGCTATTTCTTCTGGTCGGCCTAGCCTTTTCGCAGCCGGCGTAGCTTCAATTGTAGGTCCTAGAACCTTCATTGCTTCATCTCCGGCGCTCAAAAACCCATGTGTCGCAGTAGGGCCGGGGGACACAGCATTGACAGTGCATCCATACTTTGGGGGAAGCTCCTTTGCCCAAACCCGGGTGAACGAATCCACCATTCCTTTGGTTCCAGCGTAAATAGTTTGTAGAGGAGGGGCAGCGCGGGAGCTAATGGAACAAATGTTGACAATGCGTCCACTTCCACGAGTAAGGTATGGCAGAGCCTGCTGCGTCAAGAGAAATGTTCCACGACCGTTGAGATTGACTAGAGAATCCCAGTGATCGAGCGTTTGTTCCTCGAATGGCAGGTTGATGGCAATTGCGGCGTTATTGACAAGAATGTCAATGTGACCAAAAGCCTCAACTGCACCTTCGATTAACTTCTTCGGTCCGTCCACAGTGCTGATGTTTGCTTCGATCGCGATTCCTGGGGTGGAAAGTCCCGCCACTGCTGCGGCTGCTTCATCAGCCAGGAAGGCGTCTGGGTAGTTGATCACGGCGTGGGCTCCTCGAGCGCTGAGCTCTTTCGCTATTGCATGCCCAATACCACTACAACTACCGGAAACCACGGCAATCTTGCCCGCAAGACTCTGGTTTGCGGCCATGAGAGTTGAGTTTGAATGAGGGAGTGTGTGGTTCCAGGCAGATTGGCAATCTGATAAGCGGACTTGATGTAAATACTAGCAGTACCAAGTCAATTTCGAAGTGTTTGACGGTATCGTTTGGGACCTAACCCAAGTTGTAACACAAAGGTATGGACCTCGTATTATTCAGCCCAGAACCATGATGGTCCATTGTCCGGGCTCATGTCGATCCCCCGCTCCCGCCCCTCAAACCCACTGCCGACGTGGTATCAAATCCCGGCCCGGAAAGTGGGGGAAGGAGTAGAGTCCACTTGCCGTCCCGCCGTTCAAGTCTTCCTATCAGAAATCAAAGTAATTCAGCAGGGCACTTGCGTCGTGCCTTCGACGTGTTCTACCTGGTATCTCCTCAGGAGGTGATCTGAGGTAGAGTTGCTGGGATCCGAGTCGATGATGATATCACGCTGCAATCCACTCGAGGGTCCGAAGTTCAAGCTGATGGAAGAGATGCAGCAAAGCTAAGCTGCTTCTGCTCATATAAGAAAGTACCTTAATATGGGGAGATCCGGCTAAGCACAGATTCACTTGTAACATGTAGACTTATTAAGGCCTATTTAATGCGCAATCACTTTCTCTTTTCGGAAATCAGGCTGACCTCGCCCATTGTGCCTGGATTTAATGCAGGGATAAAAGCTCTTGGGCCTCCGGAGGAAACATTGAACACATCAATGTGCTAGATCGATTTTGATCACGGCCTGTCTTTTAGTCAAAAGAATATCGGTTGAATCTTGAAGAAATCTGGATAAATCATGATAACAGAAGGTTTTTGTACCATCGTCGTACGTTGACCCTTGTCGTCGGGGTGACAAATCAGAGCTTTAAATATGGAAAGTTATGCGGTCTGGAACCCCTCTTGCCACACACTACCCTAGGTTCTCGCATTCTCCATCAGAAGATTTGGGATAGCATGTCAAAATAATTGTTCCAAGCGTTGGCTTTACATCAAATTTCATAACACTTATTCAATAGTCACTCATTCCCTTGAGTCGACAATCTTCAGGAAATGCAGCTCATTTACTATATCCTTAAACTCGTCCCAGTAAAACTTGTTAACATCACATAATTCCTGTAGTGACGCGCATAGATTCCCAAGACTCGAATTTCTTCCCCGTGTTAGCGGGTGTCTTTGCGCCAACCCCTGGGCGGTCCTTGGCCCAATCCTGCAGATCCGCCCTGTTCATTCCCGTATACTTTTGCAGTTCCTCCTCCGAAATCTCGACTCGGTTTCTGTCTTGCATGCGTTGATAGAGTGATTTCTTCTTCGGCGTGGGTGTTGGCTTGGACTCGGAAGTGTCTTGCTTCATAAGCGGCGTTTGACTATTGGTCTTGCTGAGTTGATCCGACATGTTGATCAGAACGTTAAGGCTCCAGAGACAATGATTGTAGAAAGCTTTCGACTAGACTGATCGGGTGGCAGGAAATACGTTCGGAGTACGGGTGAGTGGAAAGCAGTCTTGAGATGATTTGATTCTGAACAAAGTACAATTGATCAACAATCTTTGGACGATATGCTGGCACAGTTCGTAGTTTCTTGGCGCCAAGTGGTTATTGTTTTGATTTGTTGTAGACATAAGTTGAATACATGTACTCTCTAGAGGCGTGGTGTGGCCAATATTTATTAATGGACCTTCTAGTTGCCAAGGTGCATTGACACAGTGAGTAGAGAGCCGACCACTTCCGTGGTGACGAATGAGGCTCTGTTAAACGACTACTTTACGGCGCAGCGGGGAGCAACGCCCGGTTGGTCACGCGGACGGAGGCACAGCTCAAACACCTTCCTGTCCGGGACTCGAAGTGGATATGTTGGTCGCTTGCAAACACGTATTGGCTCGGTCCCAGTACTCTGGCCGTCGCGGAGCCTCAAAGTGGAACGAGTGAGCAGTCACATGGATTCGTCGGGCAACGCCAGGTTGCAGCTAGCTCATAAGGGGAGAACGGCAGCCCCGAGAAGAGCGGCAACGCGTTTACCGGCACGACCATACACACTCTCTGTAGCTCAGGCATTATGGAGCCTAACTGGAATGGCTTCAACTTATCGTCGTTGTATTCTTACATAGACTACAGCGCACTGCCAAGCAAATGGCTGGAGAAAGACAATTGTGGTATTGATCACAACAAAATACGATGATGGAACTCGCGTCGCTCGCTCTCCAGGACCAATGGACCACCACTAGGACCACTAGCATCTAGACTCAGTGTCACCCGCTGCAAGTCAGCAACGACCCGCACTGTCTCGCCAATGTTTTGGTAGTCGATCTCATGATGGCCAGCTGTCTCGTCATTGTCCTCCTTCTTGACCTCGCGGATTTCCACGTTGGGGTAGGGCAGCCGTCCTTCGCGCAGCGGTACGATGAGCACGGGAACGTGCAACTCGGATTCTCCAAACTTGGCATCCGACTTGTCTACTCCCAGACTCTTAAAGTTGCCGCGCTTTCGGCCGCCGATGAGCCATGTGTCACCTGGACCAGTCACGTCAAAGCTGAACTCGTAGTCCCTATTGATGCCTTTGCCATCACTGACAGCTGTGTCCCAGATGCGAGTCCAGCGTAAACGTAGATTGGCAGACAGCAACTGGTTGACGGCTAGGGTCGAACCCGCTATTTGTTTGTCGGGGGGTGGAAGCTGAATGTCGACCGAGTGGAAAACGGGAATGGAGGGAATGTCGACAGGGATGAGGATCGATCGACTGGTCGACTCGATTCCTTTGATGGCCAGCTTTGGATATGTTGACTGCCAGGAAAGAAGGAAAGCTCGAAGAGCTTTAGAAGCATCTTCTTTGCCGCCAGGGACTGTGCCAAGACCTCTGAAGATCTTCTCTGTTAGCAAAGGCGATACGAAGGCCGTAGAAACCTCGCCGAGAAGGGCAACTCGTTCCAAGTCATAAGCCGAAAGGCTAGACCGCACCTCCGCAAGAACTCGGTTGATCAAAAGGCCTGAGAATGAGGAAAGAGGAGATTCCTCGATGGACTTTGACAAAGAGTCTTCGACAAGGGCAACAATCTCGTCTAGGACAACGCTGTAGTGAAGCTTAAGGTACAGGGTCCGCTGGGTCTTGGGCGTGGTAGTGCCTGAAGCTTTGCGTGTGATCTTGTAAAGCAAGCTGGCAGGCTGTTTCGGGAACACCATGACAGATTTATTTGGCGGGGCTGCAGAATGGGCAGCAAAAACATCCGAGTCGATGAGATGTGTCTTGAACAGTCTGAGCGGGCTCAGCGAGGCTGTTGAGACGCTGAAGCGGGAGAATAAGGCATTGTGTTTGAAAACGTCTTGTACATTGACGCCCAAGGCGAGTGCCACGGGGACTGAGAACACGTTAGAGTAGGTGAAAGTCCCCTCGTCTGTAGTGTAAGTCATTTCGACTCTAGCAGAAATGCTCGGAACATCTTGCTCGATGGTGTACGGGAAGCGCATTTTGATGGCGGACGACGCGGAGATGCTTCCGAAGCGAAAAAGTCCGGCCTCTAACGGCTTCTCGTATTGTAGTGCAGGTCCAAGGAATGTTGCTTCGGTTGAAATAATCCGGAGGCCGCCAGTCGATGGCTTGACCGAAAGCTCACAGGACTTGATAGGGTTCCAGCCCGTCAGGAGTTCCAGGTCAAGTGAATTGTTTTTATCCAGTTGAATGTCTCTTGCCGCCGTTAGGCGACAACTCAGGCCGCCGGCTGGGCGATATAGTTCCAGGTCGGGGAGGCGGAAGATTTGTGCCGTTTTGCTAGGTGTTTGGTTGACATCTCGCTCCCAGTGCAAGTCAACTTTGTTGCAAATCAAATCTGCCCGGTCAATCCTGTAGTGACCGGCAACGTTGGTCTAGCGTCCGTTAGTTAAACTTCTCTCATATCGTCAGCATACCACTTACAGTGCTGGTAAGCCGCAACTCGTTAACCCCTGGCTTGAGAGTGTTCGCCTCGGAAGTATGTAACCAAAGCTCCTTTGTTCCTCCGGATGACGTCCTGGACAGACGTATGGCGGCCTTCTCCAAGCTCAGGTCATCTATGAGCAAGCTTCTTAGTCTAATGCTGAGTGAGAAGCAGTCTTTGCCAGTGTGGTAGGCTGGATGCCCGACAACTTCTACTTGTGTGAAAAGATGTCCCAGAGGCACCCTGACCTCGTTGGATAGGGTCTTGGCTACGCTCAATACTTCATCGAGGAAGCCAGCGATGGCGCTTTTCTCGGGGTACTGAATCTCCAAAGGAGCTCCAAGTGATGGCTTCTTCTGTTGAAGCCTCTCATTCTCTGCGGCGGCTGCCTTGGTCAGAAGCTTCAGTCCCACGCGGACAAATTCATCCTTGCGTTGGAGCTCTTTTAGACAACGAGAGTACATGACAAGCATGGACAGCTCCAACAGGCTCCAGCTATTCTCCCCAAAAAATGGCGTAGTCATGTAGAAGTATGAGGCGGCCGGACCATACTCGCCGAGATGATACTTGAGCACGGCGAGGTCGGCCATGCTTGTCTTCACTGCATGAGTGTGGTTGGCCACGGTGTAATGACGCAAGGCCTTGTCCGTGAGCGTTTCGTACAGGCGATAGAAATCGTCTCGACTGTCAAGGGCAGTGTGTAGAAGGCCGTTCTCAATACCAGCCAGCCCTATGCAGAGCGGATCCGGGTTTTCTGTCTGGGTCTTGTGATCATCCCCGTCGAGATCGACGTTTTCAAAGTCGTTGCCATCCATTTCCCCTAGTACCGGCGCAGACGTCCATCCAATATCCCAGCCTCGTTTCTTCCCGCTACCTTGGAGGACATTCCTAGACAGAGCATAGAGCTCTGCACGACGTGCAGCGAGTTCCTCCAGGCCAGCTTTGAGGAATTGGGCGTTGGGTGTTGTGTTGTCATCGGGGTTGGGGCCTGTTCCCCCGGGAAATACTCCAGGACTGGGCGGTGGTCTGGTACCTGTGTTAGTGCCTGTTCCCACGCGCAGAGACGAGTTTCGAGCTGGGTGTAGCATGGTTTTCAACTCTGGAATTGATGACTTTGGCTCATGGCCGTCGGAGGGAGTCAGAGTCGACGGGGGGATGGGCAGTGCTTTGCTCGATGTTTGAGCAAGAATCTGCTGCGCCACGGAAAATGCGAACGATGCAACAAGATTATCAATAGCCTCTGCCAGGATGGGGTTGAGAATTGGGGAATCCTCCTCGGTGAGCTTGTTCTTCAATGCAGCCAAGATGTCAGCTCTCATAACTTGCGAGACAGCCGGTACGAACTCCAGTGTTCTTCGGCAGATCTCAGCCAACATGGACAGATTTTCGGCTTCATCTGTCTGCTTTGGGGGCGGCGCTTGCGGTGCGACGCCGTGAAGGACAGACTCCTGTTGCTCTCTAAGTTTTGCCAGGAGATCTTCCCTAGTCGACCAGGCGTTGCCAAGGCGGAGCAGCAGAGATATCTGTCTCGCAAAGATGTAGCAACGGAAGTCAAAGACTGACACATTGTTGGCGACTATCATTTCGCGGTACGGCTTTTTCGTGGCGCTGATAGGAATGTCGTCGAATTTGTCCTTTTTGGAGGCGTCCGTGGCCTGTAGATCAACCGGCTGATCATCTTCCAGAGATCCGTCCTCCGCCCCCAGTTTGGCAACGGCTGCCTCAGCTCGCTTCACGAGGTCCTCTGTATGACTTAATAGAGAGCCTCCGTGTGTCTGGGGATCTCCGGATGTAGCTTGCTCTTGAATGACTGTGTCAAGACCGACACTGAGCTCGTCGTAGCCGACCAAGGCATCCTCTACCAGACCGACACTCTCGAAACCACGCGCAAGACCCTCCTTGAGTATGAAGAAGGTACAGAAGTTCCAACCCGGCAGAACCCTCTGAGCGTCCTTCTCCTTGATGTCTTCCTCGTACTGGGATACCCTCATGTCAAAGGATGACAGAATCAGCTCCTTGAACTTGCCAACAAGGTCATCCCATGCGTTTTCGGCATCCTGACGCGATTCTGTATAGCCGGTCGGAGTGGCAGGAACAACTCGAGGCAGCACATCGTATGGGACGTCATTGATCCCGATACGGATCTGAGCCACACGATCGATTGCGCCCTTGCTAGAACTGTTAAAGTCGGACCGAAGCTTCTCTAATAATGTGGAGGATCCGGAACCCCATCTTGACGATCTTGCTTTCTCGGCAGCATCGAGGCCCTTTCCACTGACCCTAGGCTGATTTGCCGCAAAAGTATTGGGTATTACGACGTGAATAATCAGAAACTCAAAAGCATCGTGGTTCTCTTGTGTGTTCAACTTTCGGGTAGACTGCGAAGGCGGCGTGTTTTTCTTGATCCATTCTCGGATTTCTCCCCTTGTTTGAGACTTGTACGTATCGCTGTCGTCGCATCGAACGAGCAGGACTTTGAGGTAAGGGGT